CTGTGTCATTACAGAACTTCTAGATGGTAGGGAAGTCAAGAAAACTACAAGATAGAACGGACTGTTCTAAACTTGGGAAGAAAACTATAAATCACAGTGTAACCTCAAAAGAAAAATGGTAAACCTTCACATCAAAAAAGAGGACCAGCATAAATATTTAGCAAATACTAAAACAATAGCAGTGAAGGGAAGTGATAACACAATTTATAAACAAAACAAGCTCAGCATAGAAAATCATATGGAACAAAGAAATCGACACCATGAAAGAGCACAGAACAAAAATGACAACAACAAATTCATATCTGCTGGTAATTACATATCTGGCATGGGACTTATCTCTAAGATATATAGCTGAGGAGTGGATGACCAAACTATGGTACATACACATAATGGAATGCTATGCAGCACTAAAGAATAATGTAGAGTCTGCAAAACACCGCATAATATGGATGAACTTGGAGGACATTATGCTGAGTGAAATAAGTCAATCACAGAAGGACAAATATAGTATTAGTTCATTGCTGTGGAGGGTCAAGGAAAGGTTTATATATGGAGGGAAACTTTCTTTGTTGGTTGCCAGGGGTGGGAAGGAAGGGGAGGGAACACTGTGAAATATATATATGCATTGACCCATGTCACTTTAGTTTTGTGTATTTCACTGTCCATAAATTATATTTCAATAAAATGCATTAAAAGAGAGAGAGGGAGAGAGAATAAACTCCTGTTTTTTCAAGCCATCCCATTTATGGTATATTCTTCTCAGAGCGGCACTAGGTAACCAGAACAGGACTTAAGGACAAGGCATGGATATGGTAGCCTGGACCTTTGGGTGGATGTCAGTGCCATTGCTGATGTGAGAAAAGTTAGGGCAGGAGACTGGTGGGGGCAGGGTGGCAGCAGCTGGGGTCAGGAGTTGTGGTTCTTCCATGTTACATTTAATGCCCTTTATATATCTAAATGGACTAGTCTTAGTAGTCAGCTAGGTATCTAGGATTCAGACTATGTAGCTGGGATTCTTTAATGCCTTTGGGCTGATAGGATCACCCATGGTGAGGGTAGAGAGAAGAGAAAGAGGACTTGGACAGAGGAGAGGGAGCCTGTAAGGTAGGAGGAGGACCAAGTGCTCATGAGGCTGTGGACACTTGGTCAAGCAAAGTATCTCAAGGGATGTGGATGACTGTTGATGGCTCCTAAAGGCTGAGCAAGTCAGAACCAGGA